GGATTGAAAGCTAACAGAATTTATATAAAAGGTGAAGAAACAGAATCGGACTCATCTGAACAATTTGATGATGATGATGAGGATGATAGCAATCCTTTGATGAGAAGCAAGCCAGCATACCCCATCAGTATCATAGAAGGTTCTCGACCATCCTTTCTGAAATCTAGCTTAGATGCTAAAAGGGCCTCATTTATTAAGGAAGATATGCAGGAGAATGAACTGGATTTGGATGGAATCACACACCTTTCCAAAAGGTGGGTGGCTTTACCGAGTCTGGGCAAATGCCAGGATACATGTCAAAAGCTAAAAAGAAGGGTAAGATGCATGAGATGCATAGCTCCAGTGCTAGAGTTTTGGAAGATGGCTCTTTCATTGGCTTGGGTAAACTAAAGGATGATAATGATAGAAATCGAGTTCACAGATTTGGTAAGATTGGTTTGCGTGTGGAATCTGGTGAAAGGTTACGCAGGTCCTCATTGAAAGCCTACCCTTCTGACAGAAAGCAGAAAAGGGAAGTCAGCCATGATTTCATTGTCGACAATGAGGATGATTTCCTTGAAACACCGTTACTGTCAGATGAAAATCCACTGGGTAGATTACGGAAGAAAGGACGGAGCATGGAAACATATGTTCACGGTCAAAGTGACCGACCTGAGGCTTCGTTGCTAGGGTGCAACTCAGTGACGAAGAAACGGAAAGCAAAGTATGAAGTGATGGACATGGCTGGCAGAGATGAAGATAGTAATAGGCAGTCTAGTATTGTTCAGCAGCAAATTGACGACTCCATTTCATTGAAGAAAAAAGGGAAGAGGAAATTGGAGGCTGACGATGTTATTCCAGATCGGGAAACTCCTGAGGCAACTGTTACAAAAACGGGAGTGGTGGATGTGGAGCTGGAAGCCAAACCTCCAAAAAAGCCATATACACCAATTACACCAACAGTTCATGTTGGCTTCTCATTTTCCATTATACATCTCCTTTCAGCAGTTCGTGTGGCAATGATCACTCCTCTTTCAGAAGATTCTGTAGAGGTTGGCAAACCTACAGCAGAGCTGAACAGAGCACATGAAGGTGACAACAATGGGGTTCTTTCTAATGAGAATGTAGATGTTAATAAATCAGACCCTGCCGTGCAAGTGAAAGTGCCTTCGCTTACTGTACAGGAGATTGTTAATCGTGTGAGATCAAACCCTATGGATCCTTGTATTCTTGAGACGCAGGAGCCACTCCAGGATTTGGTCAGAGGAGTTCTCAAGATATTTTCATCAAAAACAGCCCCACTAGGAATAAAGGGTTGGAAAGCACTTGTGTTTTATGACAAATCTACAAAAAGTTGGTCCTGGATTGGTCCAGTTTCTCACACTCTGACTGATCATGATGCTATCATTGAAGTCACATCTCCTGAATTTTGGGGCCTTCCTCACAAAAGTTGTGTCAAGTTGGTAGACTCATTTGCTAATTGGCTGAAAAGCGGGCAAGAGACTCTTCAACAAATCGGTAGCCTTCCTGCACCACCTGTGTCATTGATGCAATGTAACCTGGACGAGAAAGAAAGGTTCAGGGACTTGAGAGCTCAGAAAAGTCTCAACACTATTAGCCCGAGTTCTGAGGAAGTGAGAGCTTATTTTCGTAGAGAAGAACTTCTGAGGTATTCGATTCCTGACAGGGCCTTCTCATACACAGCAGCTGATGGTAAAAAATCTATCGTTGCTCCCTTGAGGAGGTGTGGCGGTAAGCCAACTTCAAAAGCTCGAGACCATTTCATGCTGAAGCGTGATCGACCACCTCATGTTACGATTCTTTGTCTTGTGAGAGATGCAGCTGCTAGATTGCCAGGAAGTATTGGCACGAGAGCGGATGTTTGTACTTTGATACGAGACTCCCAATATATTGTTGAAGACGTGTCTGACGCACAAGTGAATCAAGTTGTCAGTGGAGCCTTGGATCGTTTGCATTATGAGCGTGATCCTTGTGTGCAATTTGATGGAGAAAGGAAACTGTGGGTTTACTTGCACAGAGATCGAGAAGAAGAAGATTTTGAAGATGATGGTACTTCATCAACTAAGAAATGGAAAAGACAGAAAAAAGATCCTGCCGATCAATCTGATCAAGGAACAGTTACTGTTGCTTTTCATGGGACGGGGGATCAATCCGGATTTGATTTGGGCTCTGACCTCAATGTTGAGCCACCAGCGGCAGCTGATGATAAAAGAACAGATCTTGTATGTAGTGATGGGAGACAGAGTGCAGAAGATAATGTTGATGCCACCCAAAGCAGCACATATCAGGGTGAATCAATGGTTTGGGACCCCCTGAGCTTAAATCCGTTGCAAGAGAACAAATTGATATGTCAAGAAAATTCCATGAATGACGATTTTGATGATGAAACATTTGGGAGAGAAAGGCCTGATGGACTCTTAAGTACAAGCTTATTATGAATAATTTTTCAGGTAGATTTAAATACCATTATGCCTTTCCCTAGATGCTGATGCGTTCTTCTATTTGTTATTGCCCGAATATGTTAATTCTTAGTTGAATGGGGTAGTTAAATTTATTCTGGGAAACTATAATTTGTTTTTTTGCCTCAAAATTTTAGTACTTACATTTTTCTCTCTTAAACCTGTAAAATTGAACATATTGGGCGGTAGGTCTGAAGATCTTTGAGTTACTGGCTCTCAGGCATGTCATGCTAGATTATCTTAAACTGATATGCTGTTACGTATCCGATCACAATGACTGTTGATATGCAGAACGTTGCTTGCTGTTAAGGTTTCTTAAAGATTTTGAAGTGACTAACTTAATCTACATGGTGGTAGCTTGTTTAAGTTGGGCTATTTTAGGTAGTTTGCCTGGAAGTTTAGGGAAAGAGGGACCTCCATAGGTGGTTCATTTAAGTAGGCATGTATAGAACTTTTCCTAGCAAGATAACTCAGAACTTGCAGTGATGGGATTTAGGAGATCAGCTAAGAGTAAGCTAGAACTGTACTTGAGCACATTGCTAGGGTACTTGCTAGGTGATAGCCTTTGCTTCGTGGGGCGTATTCTGGAAAATGTATTGGTGCATAATGTATTCCTTGCAGAAAAAGAGTTTACCATTTAGTTAGATGGGTAACGTTTTGTTACAAGGAGTTTATTAGTGAGCAGAAGAAGTGTCAGTGGGTACCTTATATTCTGACAAGTCTTTTTTTTTTTTTGTTTTTTTTTTTCCGTTTTATGTATGATAACTTGGATACCTGTACTAACTATCTGATTTAAAAGATTTCTAACAATGCAGAACATTTGCTTGTTTTGCAGGCGCAGAAGTCCACCTAGTTAGAAGGCAGGCGCAGAAGTCCACCTAGTTAGAAGGAATGTTCCAGTCATCTTTTCCTTTCCAAGTAATCATACATAAAATGCTATTGCATGCACATGTACATTCATGATTCTAGAGCAAAATGTAGAATAGCAAGTGATCAGACCTTGTTTTTGAGGTCCAAGAAGATGTCTATTGGCTGCTTCTGTATCTCAGAAATAGTTAAGTATTTTTTGTTTCTTTTCTTTTCTAATTCGTTATGCAGATCGTTTTGAGATGTGGGTCATCATATCCCTTCGAAATGAACAAGGATTGCTGTTTCCACGTCTATTATGTTCGGGCTTTTAGTATTGTAACATTCTGTAATCTGGACTCATCTATGTCTCGAAGGACGGCGCGTGTTTGTCTGGTAAAATTACAATTTAGCCATTGAATTCGAATCCACACTACTTCCATCTAAGTATCTTGAAATTTTAATTTAAAAATCATCCTGTGCCTATGTAAGCAATCCATATTAAAAAAAAAAAATTGAAATTTCATGACCTTTTGTGCCAATTTCTTCGACTCTGTGTTGTTTCAGTTTTTCCAATTGAATGCATCATCGTGGATTCTTCTCAAAATCATGTTAACTTAGGTCGAATTACAATGAGATTGCAATCCTAATACCATCCAGACAGAAACCCACTTTCACTATGCTTTAAGAAAGAAATGATATCGCCTAGACAGAAACAGATTGTCCTGTGCTTTAAGAAAATAAGGAGTATGATTCTCAAAAAGAAAAAAGAAAAGAAAAGAAAAGTAAGGATATAATTTGGAAAATTTGAATGATTATTCATAGATTTGACATAGAAAAAAATATGGGGCTGTTTGGCACTTTCATTTTTGAAAGAGGATGAGAGATTAGGAGAGGCACCGTGGTACAGGGTTAATATTTGCACTTAAGAGCTATAGATATATTTTTGTTCTTGCAAGCCACTTTTGTGGCGTAAAATTAGGGAAACGGTAAATTGGCTATTCCATTCTAGTTATATAACAAATTTATATTTCCACTTGGTTATGTTAGAAGGAAAGGAAGGAGAAACGGAGCTAGCTTAATATCCATTACAATTCGATTTGATTCGTAATATTTACTAAGAATTGAACCCGTATAAAAAAGATCATTATCAATAAGCCAAAGAGTCGATATATTTCCTTATTTGAAACATATATTTTTTGTCAAATCAGATGATGATTCGCTTTGATTGGATGAACTAGGCATTGCAACAAAATATTTTGTATAGCCACTTCGATTTAAAATTTATGACTCGCTTAATTGCTTCGGATGATCATTCTCCATGTATTCCCATCATATGTCTGTCTCCCAAATTACTAGAATATTGAAAAAACACAAATCAATCTCAAAGTTCGATGAAGGTCTCGATCCTGTTGTGTTGCATTTTATATATACAAAGAGAAGAAGGATAGAGAAACGTGATTGAACAACAACAAATCAATCTCAAAACAGTACCTGTAGTCAATTTTGGTAATAAGCTTGAGAGTGCGCCAAAAAAATCTATAATATTTTTTCATACAAGAGGAACATTTTTTAAACATACAATCAACGAATAAGATATGCAGAGTTCGTACTTGAACCATATAAACTCTCTGTACACACCCCCCCCTTTCTTTTACCACTATACCTCTCTAACTGTCGTGTTCTCTACTCACTTCAGTTAATAGCGGTGAGAGGAACTCTTGAGTCTCTTAAGGATTGGGCAGCAGCCTCATATGCCGCCACAACATGTTGTTTGATGTCTCCGTTTACTTGTTTTGCGGATTTTGCATCCCAGAATGACTTCAACAATTCTTCAAAAGCAGGAGTTCTAAGTTCTTCAATTGATGCAACGGTTGGCAGATTGAATGACCTCTTTCTTGGTGTTGAACAAGATGGTTCGTCCACCTGTTAGTTGGGATGAAGCAGTTTAGCGCACACATACATTATTTATTATGTTGCAGAAAAATTGTTAGGTTTCCAAACGAGAGAAAGTGAGCACGCTTTAAAAAATTGTCGTTTTTGTTACCAAAGTGAAATAGTGTTCATAAAATGAAACGAACATCTAAGTCTTACCACATATTCATCCTGAAGACAGTTCCCAGCATTATTCGTAATTTCAACGATCTTGTGGTAGTGGCTACCCTTCAGTTCCCTCAGATCTTCACAACAAGGAGAAATCATGGAATTGAAATTTCCACAAGCATCGCGGTCAAGATGTAATGAATCTGCAGGGGGGTTTCATTCATCAGTTTTCTCTCATCATGGACAAATATGAAACAATACACTTGCAAAATAAAATACTGACGTTCAATGGATGAGAGGAGATCATTGTTTGCAATGTCAACATCTTCAACTGCAGCTGATACAGCAGAAGAAAACCGTCCACGAAGGATTTGGTTGGCTTCGGTTCCTCCCCTAAATGAAAAGTGAAAAATAAGTTGTCGATCTCAAACAAAAAGCTAGAATGATACTAGTAGGAAGTAGCATACCTAACAATGGAATCCACAGAAGCAACATTGCTTTTTTCTAGGCTGAGCAAGGATTCTTGAGCATTTCTCCACTGTTGTGCACCCATTTTTGCCTTGTGTAAACTGAAAAAATTGAGAAACCAATTCAGGAGAGAGTACAAAAAAAGCGCGAGACATAATACCAAGATAAAAAAGGATTATACCAGTTATGAAGAACCTCCTCCAGGACTTTCCTTCCACTTTCCACGGCAGAAGTGTCCTCAAAATGGTTGGATTCTGTTTTTTCCATGTGGACTGTCCATTCAGCTTTAATAGAAGAAGTGGAATCCTGCATGGTTGACATTTCTTGCTGCAGTTTGTTAGTTCTACTGTTTGCACTTTCCCGGAGTTCATGCACAGCCATTTGCACCTGAAGAGCACACACCGGGTGAAGATCAAGCACACAAAAAGCAAACCAATCAAACTGCCAGCAAACTAACAATGAAGGTGACTCACCAGTTTTTTCTTCCTCGCATTTGAACTCGCAAGCAGCTCTGCCATTTTCTCCAACAATTGCCTTTCTTCATTCGCAGCACACTCCTAAATGTACATGCAAAACATTAATTTTATTAAAAAAAAAGCCTCATAAATTGACCATGCATTCAAATTTGACCATAGAAATCACCTCAAACTTCTTTTCCAGTTCAGACAATTTGTGATCATTGACTATTTGTGCTTCTTCCACAATTTCGGTCAGGTTAGACGCGTGCATGTCTAGAGTCTTGAAGAATTTGACTGTGATTTTTGAAACTGATCGTGCAGTTTCTACTGCTCTGGAATGTGCCTGTACTCAGTATCAAAATAGAAGCATTCATTTGAAAGAAGTAATAAAAATCGGAACATCTCTCAATCAATGCCATTATAAACCAAACAGCCAATTACAGACCTCATGCTGCTGTTGTGCATATGCACTTAGCTTTTTCTTTTGCATCTCAAGATTGCTTTGAAGATCATTAAATAATGCATCCGCTTCTGAAGCAATTCTTTGGAAGAACTGAAACAAATAAAACAGACTAGACTAAGAAAAAAGTTAAAAAGGATTAAGGTCACTTTGAAGTAGCAGATGTTTGGTACTTACATCCTCAACAGCATGTGAATGCTTGGAAACTTCAGTATTCAGACTACCAAAAGTAGACCGAGAATTTTCCTCAAGCTCTTTGGCCATATCATCCAAAGCTTTGATACCAGATCCATACATGGTTTTCAGCTTTCGAACCCTCCCTCGAAGTTCTTCAGTAGCCTTCAAGCATACAATAATAAAAAATAAAAAATTGTAAAAAGTGATAAACAAGTACGAAGACAAGTTCAATTAACATCATGTTTGTATCTAACCTCGGCCTTCGTTGATACAAAGGACTGCATATCTTCCTCCATGTCTTTTAGTTGCTGCTCTTGTTGAGTCATTGAGGCTGCCACAGTCTTATGTAAGATCTCAAGTTGTCGGGTCAACTGGGACTGGAATTCCTGTATAAGGACTCTGTTTCCATCTTCAATTTTATCCTTCCGCTCTGAAAACCAATTATTGATAGCAATCAATCGCCAGTGGCTTCAAGGTACTATCAAACCGAAGTTTAAATTTGGAATCAGTACAAACCAATTTTGGCAAATAAACCAGACACATCTGATGCAGCATTTTCTAGCTCTGATCGAAGCTCAAATGCACGCTCAACTAGTCCTTTCTCTGAAAGAATAACAAATTTCATAGTCAGAAAACTGGCCAACAAATAGGACGAGAGATGAAAGAATTCAAATTTCAAGCGTTGAACAGTAAATAAATCATGTCATGAACAGCAGCGTGGAAGTTTTCAGCAAAAACAAGTTTATTTATCAAATGTCAATCACATAAATCGTACTGGTTAACAAATATACTAGATATTTTGAAGCCCGCAATCACGTAATTGTTGAAAAATGAAACCAGAGGAAAGAATGGAATCAAGTAAAAGATGTCCTACCAAGAATGTCCAAAAAATTTCTTCTACACTTCTCCTCTCCAATGCAACAGATTTACCAAGTGCATTCAAACAAAGAAAAAGAAAAATCAAGTACAAGATGTCTTACCAGATTTGAGGAGATTAGATATAAAAAATTCCTTCTCCTTTATAGTTGTGTTTGCTTGTCTGTGTTTTTCTTCGAGATCTACTAATGAATTTTCAGTTTCCTCGAGCCTTTTCTGAATTTTCACAGCAGAGAATAAATTCAAATCTTGCTGATGGGAGCAGAAAAGTGGAACAGAGAAGGTATACATTTTGACCACCTACAGATAGCTACCTCGGTTTTATCAAGTTTCTCGCTTAAATCTGCTGTCAAATGTAGCTGAGAATCGTAGAGTTCCTGGATCTCCAAAAATTGCTGATTGCAAGAGACAACAAAATAATTAGACTGGTTTTTGTGCATGGAAACTGGGGAAAACCCGTGCGAAAATGTTGATGAAACATACTTTGTCCTTGGATTCTGAATCAAGTTCCATGCGCTCTATTTTTTCAGCCATTGCCTGGGTGGATAAAAACACAGAAATTATCAATATTCCGACTTCAATGTAAAGCTAAGTCAAGAAAATATCAGCAATTATCTGGTAGGAAGTGAACCTTCTTTTCAGCCTCGTCCTGAAGATAACGATCTCGTGGTATATAGATTCCATTTTTCTCTCTGGCAGCATATACCTCTGATAATTTGTTTTTAAGAAGTATCAACACATTAGACAAGTTGTCAAATCTAACTGTATGAAAAAAGTTGGAACACATAGTGATGAGAGAACCTTGCTTCAGTCGGTCAATTTCAGAATACAGATCCTTAATCATTGCAGATTTCATCATCTTTTGATTTATCTGAAATGGTAACCAAAACAGATTATTAGAGCAGTTCCAAAAGTAAACAATAACCAAGTGATCAAGAGGCACTAACTACAATTGTATTGGTCAAATGGAACAACTGACCTCTGGTTTGTTCTTTATATTTTTAGCACGGTGTGCATAATCTAGAGTGCTGAGTGTTTCTTCCAGACTATGAATAGAGGGTGATACTGTGGCGATTATGCATGTCTTTGTTTTCCCACCAAGCGAATCTCTCAATAGCCTGGTTAGTTTGCTATCCCTGGAATTGCAACCAACCATTTCCAACTAATGTCACCTTCAAGGTTTGCAATCACAAAAAGGACGTGAAAATGGATATCATACTTGTTATTTTGGGCAGTACCTATAAGGAATATGACCAGAATGCTCAACAAGAGCATTGATCACACGACCAAGTGTAAGCAAGCTTTTATTAATCTCCCCTGCTTCCCTTGCTCTCCCCTGCAAAAAGTTCAAGTCATGAAAATTAACTTATATTTCGATTAAGCTACTGTGTTGATTATGAAGAAATTCAAAAGCATAATCCTGCAAAAATTACAAGAGATACTTGACTGGAGCATAAAACCCACTGAATGCAAAGGCTCTGTTCCCAGTTGCATTGGGCTGCGTTATATAGTAGATAATTTTCTAGTGTTGGTTACACCGTACCTCTCGGGCACCAGAACGGGAAATATTCTCAGAACCAGCAAGATCAACAAGATTCAGCTTTCCACATTTGATCATCTCCTCCCCTCGGGAGTACATTCTTTAATGTGAATGGTGATGGAAAATATTGAGTGAGAGCGACTACTTTGCTTGTTAAGAAGAGTCTCAGCTGTGCGCCTTTTGGCAGAGCCCTTCTCCAAGATTTTGTAAATTTCATTAGCAGTACATACTATCTCTTCTTCTAAGCCTCTTACAAGAACACCGCCTTTTCCATCTTCCATAAGAGCTATTGGTTTCTTAGATTTGTCATCGATAAATTTTGGAGTTTCTTCTGAGGCCAAAAGATCTGTTATTTCCTCATTGTACAGCTCTAAAAAGGTAACTTTCATGTTATACTCGGCATTTTGAGCTTCTAATATTTCAAAAATTTGTTTAACTGCTCTTGGTATAACACCGGCATCACTTGGAAATTCTCCATTCTACAAAATAGATTAAAAATACAAATTAAAACAGTTGGAACCAAAAAGCAGAGAATTATAAATAACAATAATAAGACAAAATGCGAGGAAAAGTCGAACCTTTTTCCTGGCTCCTCCTTCCATTGTGTATGTCTTCCCTGTTCCTGTCTGGCCATACGCAAAGATGGTGCAGTTATAACCTTCAAGAACTTCGTACACAATTGGAGACACTGCCAAATCATACAAGTCCTTTTGTTTGGATGCTGGGCCAAAAACCTAAACCACAAAAAACAAAGTAATCATCACAAGTCATAAATTCACTTCCATTTTTCTATTAAGTAAAACCAAAGATAAAAAGGGACAAAAACAAACCTTGTCGAATAGAAAGGTTCTATCTATCTGCTTGTTAGCAATATTCTGAACCGCGGACACTTCCCTTCTACCCTCGTTACAAGAAATCACTACCGGAGTGTGCACCCTCAACTCATCCTCACTCAGTGGCCTGAACCCCAAAAAGAAAAAGCATCCCTCAGCTTAAAATTAATCTAAAAAGGAACCCGAGTTCACACCAACTTTTTTTTTCTTTTTTTAAGAAAGAAAGAGAGAGAGAAAAAAAAGAAAAACAGACCTGCAACGCACAATGACCTGCACATTGACACCCTTTTCTTTATCATGTTTACTGCTGGAATTGGAATGGGCATTGAAATCCCCAGATCGCAGATCTCTTGCTGACTTATCAGTTGATCGAGGAGTGTGCGATGGCGATGGCGATAGCGAAACCATACCTCCTCCTCCTCCTCTTCTATGATGTGATGAAGAATCCATTTGTCTCCTCTGTTCAATCGCAAATCCTTTTTCCTCTGATTCACTTCAATTTCACTCAGTCAGCCCACCTGGCCAACTCTCTCTCTCTATATTACTATCTAAAAAAAATCAGCATCTGATTATTACTATTACAACTCTATCTATGTTTATATAAATAGATAAGAATATTCATTTCTAATTCTATCAATAATAACAAAAATGTTAAGAAGAAGAAGAAGAAGAAGATGGGATTCCATGAATGTACATTCTTCTTCCGAAGAAACACAGCCTCATTGATTCAGCTCAACACAAAAAGAGAGAGAGAGAGATTAAAAGATCAAAACGATCAAAATAGATGGCGAAAACATCCATAGATCCAAGACAATTTACCTAAAAAAAAATTCAGAGACTATGCCACAAATGCCGGCCGGCCTGCCTTCGGATGAAGAAATCCAAGATTATTATTGTTGTTGTTATTGTTATTATTATTATGATTATTGAATATTGGAGAGTTTTTTTTTTTAAATTACTATTATTTGTTTAGATTTATGATGAGAGGCTAAAAATGCGAGGAAGGGGGTGAGAGAAAGAGAGAGAGAAAATCTGAAGAAGAGAAAAGAAGAGAGTATCTTGGATTTGAAGGGAGAAAGGGAGAGCTAAAAATAGAAATTGAAAAGACGGGATGCCGTTACGGGTGTAATTTCCAGTATGTGAGGAAGACGGACGGCATCCCACCAACACCCGTTACTCGATTTTATGACCGTTAGAAGAAATATCTTTCCATTTCAAAAATTTTGAATACTACCACTTCTACTACTCCGTATTAATTAATTAAGTAATTACTCATTTTGAGCTTCAGCTTTTGTAGTTCAACTAGGAAACTACCAAGTGTCGTATGTAGTACTCCTATACTATAAGTGAGCTTTTCCCGTTGATGGCTTCAAACTGGGGCCCACTAGGAGCCTCCGTCTGCTGCATACAGTTGGCACGATTACAGGATTTTTTCAGATAAATTATACATGGGAGATGGACGATTTTAGAATCTCATTCTCTGCTGCGGACCTGTGGTTGTTTAGACTTTAATCTTTTTATTATTATTTTTAGATTTATTTAAAAATATATATATATATATATATAAACTTGTAGCTAAAACTGTATTCCTATTTTCGTTTGTTTTGATTAAGAATCAATTAGTTATGGTCCAATTTTAAAGCCATAGCGCATATGGAGGGAAAAAAACAGTTATTATAAGTATTATTCTATGGATTTTATGTTGATAAAATCTATAGCGCATATATATTTATGTTGATAATTTTAAAGCCATAGCGCATATATATTTAAATAAATTTTATGTTGATAATTAATCTAAATTGGCTATTGAATTAATTAATTAATAAACAGTTATCGATTATTCTATGGAGATGATTCTTTATCTATCTTATCATTTCGGATATATGTTACGTGCTAAATTTTTATTTTATTATCATTTGTGTTATTTTCATGAAAAAAATATTCATACAAATTTATTATAAGTATTTAAATATAGAAATATAATCACATGGGTATTATAATAAATATACAATAATACATTTTCTTTCCTTTCTTTTTTTACAATTATCCAAACAAGGTAAATATATTTTCTTTCCTTTCCTTTCCACTCTTATCCAAACAACAAGTGAAAAATGATTTTCTTTCTTCCCTTTTTTCTTTTCTCTCACTTTCTTTCCTCTCTTTTCTTTCCTCCCAAGAGGAATTATCCAAACAAGGGGTAAAAGAAAACCATGAAACACTGTAGCGAAGCAATGTTCATTCTTTTTTTTTTTTCTTTTTTTTTTTCACTTCTTCTGCAACAACCCACAGCTCCCTTTTGATTTTAATAAACTTCACTTTCGTTTTAGTCCCTGTTTTATAACTTTTTTTCTTTTTGGTCATTAAAATTTACTATATTTAAATTTCATTAGTCGCTATTCATTTTTTTCCTCTCTCTTCCCTCAAAGCTCCCTTTTACTTTTAGTAAACTTAACTTTCGCATTAGTCCTTGTTTTATAACTTTTTTTATCTTTTAATGGTTAAAATTTAGAATCTCATTCTCTGCTGCGGACCTGTGGTTGTTTAGACTTTAATCTTTTTATTATTATTTTTAGATTTATTTAAAAATATATATATATATATATATAAACTTGTAGCTAAAACTGTATTCCTATTTTCGTTTGTTTTGATTAAGAATCAATTAGTTATGGTCCAATTTTAAGGCCATAGCTCATATGGAGGAAAAATAAATATATCAATTGTCAAGCCTAACTTCTATTGAGAATGATTAATTATCTTGCTCAAAACTTTTAAACCATCTATGAACTTTGGGTTTAATAGTAATGCAAATCCTCATGGTTCGATTGTGTGCATTGAACCTTGTGGTTCAACCAAAAAAAAAAAAACCGGCCACTAGATATTTAACTTTTAATAATTTGGTTAAATCAAGTTCTTTTGTCCATTTCAATTTTTTTTTATGTGGTTTCTGCCTAGCATCCGAGTCAACCACTAAAATTTGTTTTGAAAAAGTTGCTATTATTATTTTTTTAGTTAGCTGTGTGTCTTTTATTTTTATCGTGAAAGGATATTGGATAATAAGTTGTTAAAATATTTTTATGTTTAATTGTTTCTAAAAGTTTCATTTTTTATGGCTCGTGACCTTTTGTCTTCAAATAATTCTCATAATGGTTTTTAAAATTTTATCTAACATCTTTTTTATTAGCTTTTGAAGGAAAAAAAAACTAAAAAAAGTAAAGAAAGGATATTATTTTTTTTAAAAAAAAAGTCTTGAATTCAAATTTTTGTTTTAGTAAAAAAAAAAAAGTAATCTGAACAGAAAATGAACAATAATATAAACCTAAAGTTGACTATTCAACCGCAATTTTTTAAACATAAAATTTATAGTAACAAAAATATCACTGAGCCAAAAATTTATATAACATTTTCAAACAAGTGTTCTTCATAGAAGAATGGACTTTGATTTTCAACTGGTTAAGGAAGAAAATAAAACTACTCCTGTAAATAAGACCTCCTTGCGTATTTTCTAGTTTCCTCTAAATTGAAAAGTTGTCATGTCATTTTTCATCCATTAAATATAAAATCTTCAAAGAAATATATTTAGTTTTTTTTTCTCCTGTTTTTATAGTCATTTTTTTATAAATACACAATAATTTCTAATATACGTATATTAAATTGATAAGTTATTAGTTGCTGATTCACTAGATCATGGATTTTTCACATTGTGGCATGTATTATATGACAAATAAACATGCTTTATCGATTAGACATGAGCCATTTTGTAGTTTTATTCTACCATATATGTTTGAAAATACGTTACAAGCATTAGTTTTTATCTTGAAATTAGATTGAAAATATTGATTACTAGCTAAATGATTATCATTGAGAATTCATCAAATTATATTATATACTTATAATCGTCAAATAATTTTTTATAATACATATTTTAAATTAGGGAGAGCCGCTTCACCTCGAGGATAAATTATTTTGTGCTAAAAAACATTTAAATAATCATTAGTTAAGAGTTATTGGTTTTTTTGGTTTTTGTTTTAAAAAAATGTAAAAAGCCAACAATCAGTCGTCAAACCTTTCAAAACCAAATAAAAATGATTTTAAAAAATATTATAGTGGTTGTTAAACGTTTTGTGTTTTCTTCAACTTCTTATAGTAAATCTTTCACAACGAAATCTGGTTTTATAGTAACGATATTTAATTTTGTGGATTAGCTGACCTTATTAGTCAGCCTTGATCCAGTGATGCATAGCTTGAAACATGTTTTTCACATTTATGTGTTTGAACTTTAAATTGGTTCCTTGATTTTACAAATCTGATTTTAGATATTTTTTATTGAAAGTACCTTAAAGACCAAATAAAGTACATATATAATAAATATCTACTGAATTATATAATCTAGATTGATGAATTATTAATTCCTAAATATTTATCAATCAGGTTTTTTATTAATTTTCAAACTTATTATTTCTTTTATTATAAATTAAAATTTGCTAACGTTAGGCTGTTTTACGATTCATTAATGAAATCGCTCACCTAAGTCTAAAATCATCCAAAAGATGTTTTTTTATAATATATATTTATTTTTTAATATTTTTATTAATATAAATATTTTGTAAACGGTTTGATTTATGATTTAGTCATATATATATATGTATATATATATATATGGGTAGAATTTCTATATATTATACAATTACATGATGGCATTCCTCTTTCCTAGCTGACTAGGTGACCGTTAGTCAACAAATTCGAGTGGCATTTGTACATTTGTAATGATCATGAGTAAAAAATAATTTAAAAAACAAATTATTATTTTTAAAAAAAGTCAAATCAAATCATAAAGTAGAATTATAATCACAATTAAAATTTAAAAAAAATACAAACTAATTAAATCAACTACCGATTTAGAGTTTAAACACACCCAGAATTCATGCTCTCAATGCCCGGATCCCTAATTATAAATTCTAAACAGCATCTGCTTCTTTTAGATTCCAACATCTTCTGCCACTTGCGATAATGAATCGTCCCTTAGTACTTTTGTCAGCCTAAAAAATTAGAAAACCGAAAAATAAGTCTCCACCAAAACATATGTTATCCAATCTGCCCGCATCAAGCAATACATGCTCCGTATTTCGCTTCTACTCTATTCTACGAATAGATTTTATTAATTAACCAACTCAAACTGATGAGAAATGGTAAAATGCTCTACCATTGATCTGATTTTTTGCAGTGCAGGTGTAAGCAGGGATGGGCAAAATGTTTGTTTGGTTAAGTTTTTTATTCATTTGATTTACCTTGTGAAGGGTTAAATTGAAAATTGAATTACAGAATCAACAATTCAAAAACCGACCAAAGCAAAAGCAATATGATGAGTCCGAACGACACGTGTCATTCGAGTATTCTAAGTAGATCACTCTGGATGATAAAATCTTTAGTTGAAACCAACAATCGATCAAGAG